CTCAGCGTATTACTTTCAGCTTCATTCACATTGTGTGAATCAATATTTCATCCCTGCTAGTTGCTGAGTAGTGACACTCATACAACTGGATACACACACACACACACACACACACACACACACACCCTCAGTCCTCAGATTAGCTTGGTCACGGGGCAGCAGTGGCAGCATTCTCGCCACGGTTAAGAGTAAGTCAAGGCAGTCAACTCTCACTGCTTTTCAGCGTTATATTGGCACTGTTAACCAGTGCAGTCAAACAGGAGGAAATAATTGAAAGGGGAAGTTAAAACTATATCTGTTTGTTGGCTATGTGATCACTTACCTGGAGAACTCTATAATGAATCAATGATAACTCTAACTCAGATGACGGAAGAAGTCACCCAGGTAGTAGAATATAAAAATAGCGGAGGAATATCAATAATCATTATATATATAGATATATATGTAAAATCTATTACTACCAGTTAGATAATGGAAGAGAAAATCCCATTTAAAATAGCAACAGAAAAGATAAAATATTTAAGGATAAATTTAACAAGAAACTTTAAACCTTTATGCAGTATCATAGATCGAATAGTGTGTGACTCCCCCCTCAAAATTTGATATATTGAAGCCCCAGTCATAAGAACCTCAGAATGTGACTGTGTTTGGAGACAAGGACTTTAAAAGATGACAGCAGGCCATTGTGTGCCCTAACTCAGTCTGACTGGTGTCCTCACACGACTAGGGGACTAAGACATGCAGAGAGACACTGGGGGAAAGGTATGTGAGGACACAGCAAGAAAGTGGTCATCTGGAAGCCAAGAGAAGAGGCCTCTGGAGAAACCTTGACCTTGGAATTTCAGCCTCCAGACCTTAAGAGTAAATGCACATCTGTGGTCGACGCCCCCAGAGGTGGTATTTTGTTATGGCAGCCCCAGCAAACTCATACAGCCCATAACCAAGGCTGCTCCTGAAATACGCAAAAGCCAACTTCAGCAGCCCTCCCTAGTTCTTGAGTAGGACACCTCAACATAATCAAGGTATTAAATTCTCACTAAGTCTGTGTATAAATGTAATGTCCCTGTTAGAGTGCTAGTAATACCTTTTTTCCTGGATGTAGACAGGGTGATAGGTGAAGTTCATATGGAGAAACAAGCCATGCAGCATTGAAGAGGAAGGCCTATGAGATTAAAACATTCTATAAGGCTTCTATAATTAAAGCAGAGTGCTTCTGGGGCACAGGCTAGAATAGAATGGAATGGAATGTCTAAAAATAGAACCTAACACGTATGGAACTTTATGAGAAAGGTGGTGTCCCCGATCACTGGGACAAAGCTGGGCTTTTTTAATGGTGTTGGGGCAACTGTCGAAGCATTTGAAAAAAGATGAAATTAGATCCAGGCCTCCTGCTATAAATAAAAGTGAAGTCCAAATGGATCCGACATCTAAAGAAAATGAGAAACTTTATATGCACCCCCAAGAATAATAGCTGGGTTGAATTCCTGCTTATGATCTGGGTGTAGGAGAAAGCTTTCTACGAATCAAAATCCCTTCACAATAAAAGAAAATACTGATAAATTTGACAACCAAAACATAAACTATTGCAATAAGCAGACTCAAGACAGATTGTGATAAAATATTTGTAACATACTAATATAGCATAGATTAATATCTCTAATGTACATTTTTAAGTGAAAAATGGAAAGACCAAAAACGGGCAGAAGACACAAGCAGACAGCTCACACACACGCGCAACAAAGACATTAAAATGTCCTCCAAAATACATGAAAAGACAACTCACTTTCACCATATTAAGATAAATGTAAATTAAAATTGCACCAAAATACCATTACTTGCCTATCAGAGTGCCCCCAAGTATCAACAGCTTGACAAAATAGTCTGTTCTGGAAGCTGCAGGCGAGTCACTCTCAGAGGTTGCTGGTGGCAACACAAAGTGGTACAGCCTGAGTGAGGGATGCTCGGCAGTGACAAGATGACCATACCTGGGTTTCCCCTTTATCACCCAGTCCTTCTTCCACTTCTAGGAATTTATCCTGGAAATACGCCTTTAACAGAACAGTTTATATGACTGGGTTACTCATTGCAGTGTTATGGGTGATGGTAAAATATTGTGAACTGCCTGAATGCCCAGACATGAAAGATTGGTTGAATAAACTATGGTGCCATTAGCTGTAAAAACACATGAAGAAGATCTGTATAAACTAAAGTGCCGTTAATTCTAGGGTAGAGTGAGAAAAGCCAAAGGAAAAGAGAGACTCTGTGTGTGTGTGTGTGTGTGTGTGTGTTTAAATAATGAAAATGAAATAAGGAAGCGTGTGTTTTTTCAAGAAGCAGCAGGAAGGATAAGCTGGAAAGAATGAATCGCTTCTCCTCCGAGGAGGTTAGTGAGAGCCCGAGTGCGTTGTAACGTGCACGTGTAGGAAGATGCTCCTCAACCCTGGTGAGCCTCACAGACATGCTGTGGAACGGAGAAGCCAGGCACGCGTCTAGATGACCCCATTTAAACAGAGATGCGTGCACCTTAGTGCACATGTGTGATACCTCAATACATTCCAAAGTTTATTCAAAGGCACCTGTACCTGTGTCAGCAGTGGCAAACTCATCTCGATAATCAGAGCTGAGTAGTTGTGGCTGGTGGGCTCCCTTCTCCCAGGTCATTGGCTAAAGTGGTTGACCTCGCCTGAAGTGTCCACCAAGGTGCCCGAGAACCAGACCCTATACGCCACATGGCAGAGTCACTGTAGGGGCACGGCAGAGTCACCAGCTCAGGTGCCAGCCGCCTGCTGCCGTGGAGCTGCTAAAAATGGGATATGGTGAGGGGAGAGAGGGTGTGTGTGTGTGTGTGTGTGTGTGTGTGTGTGTGTGTTGGACAGTCAGGGTTCTTCTAAAGGGTTAAGATGGGGGATTGATTTAAATTGCTGTGTGGTGCTGTCTTTGGGGGCAGGGGTACAGAGGCCGATATTTGCCCCCTTTTGAAGATACCAATCAGCCTTCAGGCTGTGTAGCTAGATGACCAAAAAAGGCAAATTGGAAAGTGGTAACCACCGCAGCCAAAAGAAAAGGAGAATGTTTGATTGCAGAAGTAATTTAAAGGCATTGAACTGTTTCATAGCATGAGTTTGTTTGGAGTATAGGTTTCTGGTGGCCTCAGGGGCGGCTTTATGCCTTTCGGGATTTTTTTGGTTCAGCAAACGAAGCAGTTTACGTTTCAGGTGGCTCTTGAAAAGTAGAAGGAGCAGTTGTTCTTTTGATGACTTGGTTTGGGCAGATTCCATCACTGTGCTAACAAGAAAATGCATTTATTTATCATACTAAAAAGATTTATTTCTACAGAGTCAGATAGTAGGGAAGTCATACTGCTACAGGATTATGTAAAATTTCAGTTATAGCATATGAGAAAGTTTAGTATCTTCAAAAACCTATTTTTTACTTCAACATTTTTCAGCTCAAGAATAAGTGATGATCCAAGTGGTAAGAGCACCTTTTCCTGTAGAAATGTTAGAAGCTGTGGATGAATTCCCTGGAAAGTGCTAAAAAAATCTCCTTAATTCCTAATGCCACTGAATATCGTTTCATGGGGAAAATAAATTCTGAATCCTAACTCCCAGCAGCAATAACAGATTTTAAATCTCTTCCTCCCTCTTCCCGTGCAGTTGACCATATGGGTTGTTTGAGTCTTTCTGGCCAAGGCCGTAAGAGCAGGAGGGATCCTAAGGGCCCTTGGTCTTGGGGAGGCCACCTGGGGACCCTGGCAGGAGGGGCGGGACCTAACCCCAGCGAGGGCTCCCAGAGCCAGCCCTCCCCTCGATTCTCATTGCATTGGCAGTGGCTTTGCCTCTGGAGGTTCCTGACCGTGCTAATCATTAACTCCTTAGGTTCCTAACATGTAGAGCTTTTAGGAATGGCTTGAGTTGTTTTCCCTCCTTCTTCACTGCTGTGAATAAACATGTTTGGCCTTAAGTATTCACTTGGCAAAATGTGGATTGTACGACCTATTCCTTTTTTTTTTAAACCTATTCAGATAGCGGTAGAGATCCTGGAAAGTGGGTAAATACATTAAGGTCCTTCGAGGAAGGATGTTCATAAGGTATAGTCACACACCACCGAACAGCTTTTTGGTCAGGGTCCCGTGACATTGTAATGGAGATAACAGGTTCCTGTCACCTAGTCATGTGCCAGCAGCCTTAGCATCGCAGGGACATGTGGCTCACGTGTTGGTGCTGACTCTGGGGCGGGCGGGCTCACCGTGCCACCAGCCGGGGGAAGCACAGCCCGTGCGGTTGTAGAGGTGGCTGTCCCCTGAGGGTCTGTGCAGGTGCGCTCCGCTGTCCCCATAGCAGCGAGTGGCCTAACCGTGCGTGTCTTAGAATTGTCCCTGCTGTGAAGCTCCCGTGACTGTGTGACTGCTAGCACACGGCATAAAGTCTGTCCCATGACACATCCTGTTTTGTCTGATTCGCCGCCTGCACTGGCATTGGATTTTATACTGTTCGCTGTATCTACCCTCTCAACTTTATTCACTGTGCTTCCTTTTGGTTTAAAGTGGGTTGTGTCTATTTAAAACGTTTATGGTGGAAAATTCATTATCATTCAATAAGTATTATTAACTCTGAAATGTAAAATCTTAGCCAGGGATGTACAGTGGACTTGTCAGTGACGATGTATGTCCTTAATTGTGCTTTGGTTTCTAGTAAATGAAGAAATTAAGACTAGAGGAGCCATAACATCTCAGCCTAACAGATGTGCTTTGCAGACTCTCCCCGGGCTGTGTTGGTGCTGTTCCTCTCGGGCCCAGGTCACCTGAGGTTCTAAAGAGACCGTGTTTCCCACGGCATCCGTTCCTGAGGGAAAAGCAGCTTTTCATTTGAATGGTGCTTTCGAGTTGGCTGTAGAGCAGGGATCGGAGAACTTGTTACTTACAGAATATGTTTCAGCTTTACTGTGGCGTTGATTATAGATTTTCATCATTCTCACTTTTGTCTTTTTCTCTTTTCCAGTTCTTCCTCCAGTGCTTGTTCCAAGACACAGTGAATATAACCCGCAGCACAGCCTCCTAGCTCAGTTCCGCAACCTGGGGCAAAATGAGCCCCACATGCCGCTCAACGCCACCTTCCCGGACTCCTTCCAGCAGCCCAACAGCCACCCGTTCCCTCACTCCCCCAGCAGCAGCTACCCGAACTCCCCCGGCAGCAGCAGCGGCACCTACCCGCACTCTCCGACCAGCTCAGACCCGGGAAGCCCTTTTCAAATGCCAGGTCTGTTGAAATGCAGGATGATGTTCTGCGGGCCAGTGTCACCGGGCCTGGATGGGGAGCGCCTTTCCGCTTTGGTACAGGGCGCTGTGGGCCAGGTCTCAGGACTCGGCTGTGGGGGGAAAGGAGACCTTGTAGCCAAGTAATAAGTATGTATCACGTTTTACTTGTCAGGCACAGATGCTTGAATGAGTTTTTATGTTTCATTTTGAAGGGTTTGGAAACAGCTGCATCCTTCTGGGAGTGGCATCGTTCTTACAGCCTTTGCTCTTGATAAAAGAGAGAAAGAGAAAAAGAGTATGTTGCACACATTTGTTTTAGGAGAAACACAGGCTGCATCAACATCATTTCATACACAGGGAAAAAAACCTGCTATAAGTGCAACCTCAGAAAAGATATTTCCTGAGGGATCCCAGTCCCCTACTTAATTAAATTCGTGTAAACGGTGACGTAATCCCAAGAAACATATACTTTAACAACAAAGGGATTGCAACAGGAGTACTGGAAACCATCTGCTTGTTTAACTTAGCAAAGACAGAAAACAATTATACTCCTTTTTTAGACTTAACGGATGGTGTAATATTTATCAGAATAAATGATTAATTAGGACATTTTGTTTTTTAAGTTAATAGGTCAATAAGCAAGCGCCTCAGAGAACAGAATTGATTAGTACCAAATTTCTTGCCAGTAGACCTCCAGAAACACACTCTGAATAAAGGTGTACTTGACATCTATATACTTCACCTTTGTAAATGAGCAGCCAAGCAGCTTATTGGCCGCTGAAGTGCTTTTTAAGTCAATTCGAATTCTGCAGCAGTGCTCATAGGGCCTCAAAAACTGGAAAGTGGCCCCCATTTGATACTGCTACCTTATATTTTTATATCTATCGTTTCCTTTTCTTTTAAGCCTGGTTACTTTGTATCATTTTGTTTGTTTTTTAGGATGAGGGTGGGAGACTGATTAAAGATTAAGTGAATATCATCTGCTGATGTCCTACCCACCCCTGTCCACACCCTCCCAAACTTGTGGGTTTGATGTGCAGGCTAGTGGGGAGGACATGGTTTCAGAGGTCTTCTGAGCAGTGGCAAACCCAGGGCAGGTCCAGGAGGGAAAATATGGAAGGTTATTGCTTGATTTTACGCTTCCTCCTCGGCGGGATTACGGCCTGGGCCAAGCAGGGGGATTAGGAGAGGAGAGAGTTGCCGGTGGCAGGGGGTCCTTGGGGGATAGGGGTTGCCACCCATCATTCCCTGGTCCCTCTCAGGGGTGCTGATGCCACAGGATGCCTGTGACATCTTCACCAGCGTGTTTGCCAAAATGTATTGAATTTGGCCAGAGGAGGCGGCTCTGTGTCTTCATTCCCGGCTAGAAGGAAAGCCACGTCATTGTTCCAGCTGCAGGGAAGAAGCTGAATTAAAGGAAGCTGGGGAAGGGGTGAAAAAGGCATCCAGAGAAGGTCCCCACAGTCCTGTCTTTGTGCTCCGAGCCCTTGCTGGGGAACAGCTGGGTGGGAGGTCAGTGGGTTGTGTGATTCAGATGAAGCGTCAGCCTCAGAAGTCGCTGTGCGTGGAGCTGTACTAGCTCTTTGCACCGGTAGCTGCCTTGGAGGTTGGAGCACTTACGTGAGTTAATCGAGCTTCCTCCCCAAGGTCAAGCTTGGCTCCCTGCTCCGTTCTAAGCGCTGCCTGGGCTCACACTGGCCAGTGAAGAGCTCGTTTTTGGCAAGCCCACGCCCTTTATTTTATGTAAGAAAACAGAAGACCTGCGTTATGTTCTTTGTTTCAGAAATCAATGCTGTTTGCCTCTTATTTGTCCTCTGGCTATGACCTTCCAGGAGAAAAATATATGTAAATTCTGAAATTTAGAAGATGCAACTGTGTTAAACTGATTTGTGTCTTACTATTCTGCTACCAGGGATTTTAAAACTAGTGATACGTCAAGTGGGTAGGGAGAAGGTAGAGAAGGTGGCCTTAACAGATTGCCCGAAGTCTCAGGAAATGGACAGTTCAAGGCAGTAAGGCGACCGGAAGGAGACTCACTGGTGGTCCCTAAGAGCCCAGAGGGTCCGTGTAAGGCACCCTGCAGCCCCTTTGGTTAAGAGGCCTGTGCAGTTTTCATAGGACCTGGGGAGATGCCGAGGGCCTGCCCACGGGGCCGGGTCAGAGGTGGTTTGAGTGCTTGTCTGGTTGTCCGACAGCAGTGTGACCTGGGGAGGCAGACAGCTTCTGGAGCTGGCCCGGAGCGCCTTTCCTCTCCCTGAATTGTTACCGAAATTCACGAGAGAGGAGTAATTTTCAGAAAGCGCACAGCGAGTCCAGCGCCTGGAGCATCCAATCTTCAGACGCGGAGGTTGAAATGGCAACTTTTAATCTCCCAAGAATTTCAGCACAGTAGAGAATATGTATGTTCAAAGCGTGTGTGTTCATTAAGGATACAATAATTGTTTTTTTTCCTTTGTAGCTGATACGCCCCCGCCTGCCTACCTGCCTCCTGAAGACGCCCTGACCCAGGACGGCTCGCAGCCAATGGACACGAGCATGATGGCACCTGCGCTGCCCTCGGAGATCAGCAGGGGAGGTGAGAGGGGCCGCCGCCCACTGCCTTTTCTGAGTCTCAGGTGTATCTGTTCACAAAATCTTTCTCTCACAAAATCTCATTAGCCTTTGAAAAGACGGCGCATTAAGAGAAGCTCCGTAGAAACAGTTTTTTGATACAAAACACACACTCACTGATTTCACTCATGAAGGCCTGATGTCATGGTGCTTCAGCACTCGGTCGTTTTGATTGGTGACAAAAGGATATTTTTCCGCGAAGGGTAGAGGGGATTGAGAAACAGTGAGTGTGTGACCGTCCTGAAGAGGAGTTTCCACTGGTGATTTCCAAAATTAAAAGTTCGTACAACGACGCTTTTGTTATGTGTAAAAAGAACCTTTCCCAGAAGGTTTTTGTAGTTAGGGCAAGGATTCCTGAACCCCATCTGTTTTCTAGCCCTCTCTCTGTTTAGCTACAAACTAATAGCATTAGTTTCTTTCTTGCTGTTTTCATTTGTTTCTGACCTTGCTACCAATGGAAGGGAGGCTTTCGTCTTTCCTGTTTTTAACCCGGGAGAACTTGAAGCAGAAGCGAATGTCTCTTTCCTCTCTGTAGTCAAGAGTGGGTCTGTGTGCAGCTCTACACACTCCTTGGTAGTACTGCAGGGCCAAGTTCAGGGCGCTTGAGCACACAGGGCGCTCAGGTAACTAGGTGCTGGGAAAGTCACTGTGCACCGGCGAGAAGTCGTGACTAAAACTCCCAGCCAACCTCTCCTGGAGGGACAGTGCTTCACCGTGCGCCCTCAGTACATGGCCGGGATCTTTGAATTTGTGTAAATTTTATGTGATTTGAAGTTAAGATACAGTTTGATCACTAGGTACGGCCTACTGCATTCTCGTCAGTTTCTTAATTAAAATTGGGGATGCCTCGGACTTTGTCAGACTTGCTTGTGCTTTTGAAGTTGTTAAAACTGGATGATGAACTCAAAGAACCTTTCTTAGCTGTTCAGTGTAGTGAACTGTAGTGTACACCTTTTTAATCTGTTAAAATTTTTCCTGTCTTTTCTGTTGGCTCTGATGATCTCTAGAACATCCTCTCAAACGTATAATTATGAGCCAACAGAGTCTGGTTGGAGAATATAACTCCTGTCTCACGCATCTTTGGGACTTTTGTTTGGGGAACAAGAGAGCGGGAAAGAAATGGGCAAGGCATATAGACACCTAGGAGCACATGGACCTCATGCTGCTATTCTTCAGCCTAAAATGTATGATTTCAGGAAATCGACCTTGAAATGGTTTTAAAACTTTTTCTTTAAATAGCTTTAAAATTTTTTCGCGTTAGAATAAGTTTACAGTTAATGTTTTCCTGAGGAAGGAATGCTGGCTTTTTTGTTGTTGCTGTTTTGTTTTTGGTGGTTTTCCTAGAGCAGGGGTCAGCAGACTATAGCCTACAGGTCTGTTCAGGCTGTTCATTATAAATAAAGCTTTATTGGAACACCCTGTGTTCATTCACTGCAATTGCCTGTGGCTGCTGTTGCAGTACTAGAGTACAGTTGACTACTTGGAGTAGAGATTACATGGCTTACAAAACCTTGTAGAAATAAAGAGCGTCAGCCTCAGACCTGGATGATTAATATTTTGAACAACCTGATAGCTGATAAAAAGCCTTCTGTTAATGTTGCAGTCTTCTTTAAGATTTGGCACTTATAAATCACTAAAATTTTGTTCTTCTTTATACAGCAAATTGATGAGGGGTGGTCACTTAGCAACAGGGAAGATGGCATGCATTTTGGCTCTTCTGCTTAGGTATATAAAGCAGCTTTATATTTGTGTGGTTTTCTTTTTTTTCATATTTTTTATTACATTTATTGGGGTGACCTTGGTGAGTTAGATTATGTATGTTCAAGTGTATCTTTCTGTGGGTACGTGGTCTGCATGTTGTACCGTGTGCCGGAAGTCCAGTCCTCCTCCGCCACCCCCTCTTTGACCCCTTCTGCCCTTCACTACCTCCCACCCCCCCTTCCCTCTGGTCACCACCACACTGTGTCGTCTGTGTCTGTGAGTCTTTATCTGTTTGTCTCGTTCATTCATTTGTTGCTGTCAGTTTTATATCCCACATATGAGTGATCGTTATCCTTATTTTCTGTACCGAATTGTAAAGTAAAAGTGCAGGTTAATAGTTATGGAGGTTGGTGTTAACGCTATAGAAGTACTTTTCCCTTAAAAGTTGTGATTCATGCCTCCAATGCGGATTTTCTTTTTTTTTTCCTTTTTAAATGACTGTACACTCAAGACTTCGTAAACCTGAGATCATTAATGTGTTGGCATACTGGCTATATACGGTTTGTACTCCTGGACTCTCTAACGGTATGAGAGGTTTCACTACAGAAGGAACTTATCTTTAGAACCTTTTAGCTCCAAATATTTAGAACCACGTTCTGTTTGGAGATTTGTTAGTCTTAAGAGATTTGACCTAACAAGCTGCATCCTGTCAGTGACGCTGGGTAATTTCCACGGCAGGCCCGTTCTGGGAATGGGGAGATGGAGCACACCTGCTGTGCATGACTGGGAGCAACTGTGAGGAAGTCAGCCCGGGATCTGGACGGGAGAGATATGATTCATTCCGCAAGCGCCGGCCAGCTGGCAGGACTTCTTCCTCAGTTGGAGGGCCGGGGCCGAGCTGGAGCTCTGATGGTTATTGGCAACCTCACGTGAAGCGAAGTCACTTCTTATCAATAATTAGAAACTGATTTTTGTTGCTTTGAAAGAGCTCAGGCAAACCAAGGCTTTGTTGAGAGGCATTGCTTGCCATGCCAGCGCCTTTGGCACATTTCCTGCCCGCTGTTGTTCTTTTCCCCTGGTTGTTTCTTTCGCTGACCGCCTGTGCACTTCTTTAGATGGTGAGCCAGGCTCTGTAATGGGAGTCCTTTCCATCTTGGCCCGTTAAGGGCACCTTGTGAGTGTTCCGCAAACGCCGTGGGTATGCTCACCTGGCTGGCATCTCGGGTACCTGACAGCCATTAAAGAAAATGGCTTTCCAGCGAAAGGATGCCACACGGAGGGAGTAGTACCTGCTTTAGACATCCCAGAGTGACTCTGTGCATTAAAACAGCCGCCACCTGGCCACAGCTCCGTTCCCGACCGAGAGCCAACCTGACAGTTTGGTTTCTGAGTGCCCGGGGCATAACCACGGTTGACTCTAAGCTGTTCTCTCCTACAGATGTGCAGGCGGTTGCTTACGAGGAGCCAAAACACTGGTGCTCTATTGTCTACTATGAGCTCAATAACCGCGTGGGCGAAGCGTTCCACGCCTCCTCCACGAGCGTGCTGGTGGACGGTTTCACCGACCCCTCCAACAATAAGAACCGTTTCTGCCTTGGGCTGCTCTCCAATGTGAATCGGAATTCCACTATTGAAAACACTAGGCGGCATATTGGGAAAGGTGAGTTCTCGCTTGAACCTCTTCTGTCTGTGCGTCGCGTCCCTATTCCCCCAGAACTGTCTGTCTTTCCTGTGGCGAACCAGTGTAGTATCGCCAGATCATACGCACGCACTACAGTTTATAAATGCTTCTCCAATTTGTATCATCAGGAAGGTCACCTCCCAGTTAGTGTGTTTTGTGGGCTACCAACACGTAATGTTTAGTAGCAATTAACAGAAATGGTGCTTTGCTATTTCAGAGCACCGGTCTAGCTGCGGGATAGGATTGCTGTTAAAAGTTACTTACAACCTAAAACTAAAAGCAAATTAGATTAAGTAAACCTAATGTATTTCGAGTGAATACCATAACTCACCGAAGGGAAAAGAAAAAGAATAAACTAATCCAGAACTACTTGCAAATATAGTACTTAGCTATATATCCTTAGTCTGGGTAGAGTGATTATAAATAAACCCTGAACTGTTTTTAGTAGAATTAATTATTAGTAGCTGTATGCATGAAACAGTTCTGAAACTTCTAGATTCTATTATCAGATTAATAATCAATCTATGACTTTTTTTGAAACCTAGGTTTTCAGTGTGAAATAAGAGACACGCAAGTGTGAAAGAGGGCAAAGAAATACACCTTGTGGAAGTGTCAGTGTGAAATTGATTTAAATGTGTGTATGTGTATGTTATGTAAATGCATGTGTGCCTAGATAGACATGCAGATAGTTTGTGATCTGTCTGCCGAGAGGGCCAAGAGGCAGAGACACCCAGAAGCAATAACACATCTGGTGCCCGGGCCATCATCTGGAACACCATTTCCTCCTAAGAGGACCAGGGCTCCTTGGAGAAGGGGCTGACCCCCAGGCTGGGTCAGGTGGGCACAAGAGGAGCCTGGAACACTTTGTCAGAGAGTAACAAAATGCTCATGCACATGATGGGCGCGTGTCACAGGAGCCAGAGTGGAGGGAGGGACTTTCACTGGCCACCTCTAGGGTAATCTGAGTGCCAAAATAAGTACCATAATGATTTTAAACCACTGAAAACCAGTAATAATTCAGAAGTCCACGCTAATAATGAATAGATAGATGCATGAGTGGGGAAGGCTGGTGGGCAAACGCAGAGTGAGTGCTGGAGTGGGGAACTCATCATTTCGTGGCCATCAGGGATGGCCAATCATCCATGGATGTTAAATATAGAGAGAATTTTTAAAATGAGAATCGGGATCTGTGCCTGGTCTTAAAGTGTTTCTTCACAAACAGCCTGTTAGTTTCAAGGGAGAATGAAGATCAGTGATTATACAGGGGAGGAATTGGACAGCATCTTGACTAGGAGATTGGAATTGTCATCACCAGGGACAGACAGATGGATGTCACATGGCTCCACATGCGATGCCCCACCAAGGAAATAACATCACCTGTGGAAGATTCCAGCTGTGAGCACAGAGCTGCATCTCATAATCAGGAAACTTCAGACAAATCCAAAAGAAGGAGTGTTTTATTTAAAAGGGTGAGGAGAGACTGTCTTCTCCCAAAATTGTCAGTGTCAAAAACCAAAGGTGTGAGAATGTTCCAAATTAGAAGAGTTTAGAGAGAGATGACAGCTCTGTGTCATATAACCTGACCCTAGATGTGATCCTGTACCAGGCAGGGGAAAATATTACAAAGCCATTATTGGGGCCAACATACAAAACCGGAATATGAGCAGCAGGTTTTTAAATGATTATACTGATGTGAGCTGAACTGGCATTGTTGTGCGCTGTGCCCATGTGAGAGAATACCCTGTTCTTAGGACCTGCACACGGAAGCTTTGAGGGATAAAGGGCCATGATGAAATCGACTCTTCAGAAAGAAATTTTACATATATGTATGCATATATACATACAGAGTGGGGCATGGTTTACAGTTGTCACACACATCAATAGTACATTAATTAAGAAATAAGAATAGCAGAATAAGCTGTGTATCACGAACTCACAACTGTAAACCTACTGGTGCCCTGCTCTGTGTGTGTGTGTATATATGAGTGTGTGTATTTATATATGTAAAACAATCCTGCATTAGAGTATTTGAATACAAGCTCATGTGTGTTGTGTGTGTAGAAGAATAGAGGGGGGGAGGTGTGAGTAGCAAGCATGTGGAGTGAATTGTCACCATAGATGAATCTGGACAATGGTTATATGGTTGTTCCTTGATCTGTTTTTCTATTTCTGTAAGTTTGAAATTGCCTACAGGGTAAAAGTTTTTTTAAAAACAAACCATGGCCCCAACTGGTGTGGCTCAGTTGGTTGGGCATCATCCTGCAGAATTTTTAAAATGAGAATCAGGATCTGTGCATGGTCTTGAAGTGTTTCTTCACAAATAGCCTGTTAGTTTCAAGGGAGAATGAAGATCAGTGATTATACAGGGGAGGAATTGGACAGCATCTTGACTAGGAGATCACCAGGGACAGACAGATGGATGTCACATAGCTCCAGATGCAAAAGGTTGCCGGTTCAATTCCCAGCCTGGGCATATGCCTGGGTTGCGTGTTTGGTCCCCCGTCCGGGCACTTATCACATCGATGTTTCTCTCTCTTTCTTCCTCCCTTGACTTCTCTCTAAAAATAAATAAGTAAAATCTTTATAAAAATGACCTATGACATTTGGAAGAGTGGACCAAATTAAAAGGTTATTTAATAGATGCTTAAAACACACTGGAGATAAATTTTAACATTTAATCCTCAAAAACAAACAAACAGCTCTTAAAGCAGGAATTGATAGATAGTTCTTTAATGTGATTAAGAAAGAAACATCTGCCCTGGCTGGTGTAGCCCAGTGGATTGAGTGCGGGCTGCAAACCAAAGGGTCGCTAGTTTGATTCCCGGTCAGGGCACATGCCTGGGTTGCAGGCCAGGTTCCCAGTCGGGGCCAGGTGAGAGGCAGCCACACATTGATGTTTCTCTAACTTTCTTTCTCCCTCCATTCCCCTCTCTCTAAAAATAAATAAAATTTTTAAAAAAGGAAAAAAACATCCGAGCTACACATTTAATGATGAAATGCTAGAACTTAGGTTTATAACATACAAATATCTCTTTCTGGGCTGTAAATCCCTGAAATTATAAACACAGTTTTGCCTACATTTGGAGCAGAGGGACATATCTTTGATTAAGCTCTAAAGTTGGCCGTTACCCCAAAGTAATAAAAAGCCATTGTACTCTGGGACATTTCTATTGAAAATTGGGCAGAAGAGAAGAATCCTGAGAATGCTGTTATTTAAAATTGTTCCAGATGCCTTGACTATTGTATTGTAGAATTACGGATAATGGAAATAAGCCAAAATGATCATTATTTGCAGATGATAGGGTTCATTAATTGGTTCCTAATACTCTTGGGATAGATTTTTTTGGGGGGGAGGGAGATAGATTCTTGAAGTGAAGTCAGTAGGTCATAAACTCTTGATCCATTTTGCTAGATTACATTCCAGAAAGCTTTAACTAATGCCCATGTGCACCAGAAGTTCACATGCCCCTTTCCTCCTCCACCCGTGGCCGTGGTACTTAAGGGCGCTGTGTCGACTCAGACGATGTGGCGGTTTATCTAGAAGCCTCCTGTGTTCTAGTTGTAGAGATTATATGTCAGTTTCTTTCAATCTACCAGTTAGAAAACACACTCGAAGGGAAAATTACATTCCCAATAGCAACAGAAGACATAAAATTTTTGGATCAGCAGTATATGAGATTTGTGTTAAGAAAACCAAGTTTTACTGCAAGAGAAAGAAAATCTGAGTGAATAAAAAGGCAGTCTGTGTTCCTTAACGAGAAGGCCTAATATCATAAGCACATTTTGAGGGTATTCCTCCTTCCTAATTTAATTTGTAGCTTAAAACAATCTATGTCAGAATCACATGTTTTTTGAAAGTTGAAAAATGCATTCTGAATATTATAAGCAAGTGAGAATAGCTAATTTTTTTCAACGCAAGAGTAAAGAAAGTGTATTTGATGTTAGGGTTCCCAAAATATTGTGCAGCTACAGTTAAATCAGTATGTAGACAAAACAGTGGAATAAATTAAACTCAGACTATACTGTATTTTAAAATTTAATGTGTGTTAAGTGAAGCATAACAGATCAGTAGAGTATCTTCTAATGGTCCTGCAGCTATGAAGCCGGCTTTGGGGTGAGGCTGCAGAGAAAAGCCCCGACCTCACTCCACGTATGCAACTAGATGAATGAGTTGCATTTTCAGTTAAAGGCAAGCTAGCGAAAAGCTAGACGAAAACATTTGATCAGAGAGGTAGAAACTGTCTAAGCATATAAAGCAACAGGAAAGATCCCAAGAGTAATACTTCAAACTTCAGGAGGTTATAAAAACACAGAAACAAAAGCAAAAGACAAAGGACTAGTGGGGAAACAAATAAATTATATGTGCAATTCATAAAAAGTAAAACGATTAGAACCCCGGTGCCACAAATAGGTAAGTGATACGAACAGTGAATTCATAAGAGAAACACAGATGGCTAGTAAACACATGAAATCATCATGCCAACCGCACGTGCAAATTTAAACAATACTGTTTTTCAGCTCTTAATTAGGGAAGTTTTGGTTTTTGTTTTGAACTCAGTCTCAGTACTGGCCTGGGTGATACGAGAAGGGCACCCAGACTACTCGTGAGGGGCGTGTAAATTGATACAAGCATTCTGGAAAGTCATTTGGCAAAGCGAATCAAAGTGTTCGATCCAGTGATTTAACTTCCAGGAATCTCTCCTAAGGATATTATCAAAAATGATCCAATTTATCATGGCATTGTTAGAGTAGCTGAAAACAAGTGTGAACACAGTGGTCTGGTAGGGGGAGGCTCGTTCACGAAACGGCTGTATCCATGCAGTCAGGTCGATATTTGAAATGTTTGCAAAGGAAGTTTAATGAGACTCAGAACCTAGGGCAGCGTGTCACCGTGTCAGCAGTTATTGCCTGGAGGTCACTGAAGAAATGGAAATACTTTCTGCTTTATATTTTGCTGTACTTTCTACATTCTCTTTTTAAAATGGAAATTTCTCATTTTTATAATTAGGAAAAAAAAGAAAAAACTCAGTATGCACTGTTAAATTTTTTTCTCTACATCAGACAGAAAAAGGAGCTTTAGCTGCGGTGGCAGCTTGTTACAGAGAGTCTCAGCCATTGTATGTGCACAAAAACACAACATGCAGTATTTTGTGCGAGACAGTAGTTCTCAGTGTTGAATAAACCACGCAAGAGTTACCTGCAAGGTAGACAGATCATTTAAAGCCAAATGGGATGGGACTCTTTGCTGGGTGGCCTGTAATAAAGCAATCTCCCTAAATGGTATGGGGCTTTGTCAGAATGGTCCCCCCCCTCCTTTTTTCAAAGGCTGGGGTAAGATCAATTTCCTATACTCCTAGCAGTCTGGCCCTCACAGGAAAACGCTTGGAGCAGATGGTAGTTCAGTGAGATCAGATTCCGCACAGTATGAGTTATTTTTCTAGGGTTTTTTTTTCCTCCTGGACCTTACATCTTGCAGCTCTCAGCAATACTTCCTCCACCTGTGGCTTCCTAGTCCTTCTACATCTCTCGATCCTCCCTTCTCCCACCCTAAAAGTTTTCAAACAGCTTAGCTGCAAAATAAATGCAAGCAAGCTATGTGATAAGTGGGTACAGGATCCATCCCATAACAGGGTCCAGGTTTATTGCGCTGTACTATAAAATGGGAATATGCTTTTTAATCCATGGCCAAAAGGGCATTAAACACTCACCAGAGTGATATTGCTGCACTTCATTACTGATTTTTAGGAGACTTTGTCATATTATTTCCTAGAAACCTAGACACGCCCGTTGACATGTGGACCCTATTTTAACTAATACAGTTAACTAAGATTCCGTCAGTTGTGCAAGACTTGGAGACAGTCTGCCGATCTAATTAGCCGGAGTTTCAGTCCATGCAAATTCACATAGCGAAGCAGCTGTAAGCCACGGGATGACTAAGTCTGTGCTGCGTCTGCCCGCAGGAGTGCATCTGTATTACGTCGGAGGGGAGGTGTATGCTGAATGCCTCAGCGACAGCAGCATCTTTGTGCAGAGTCGGAACTGCAACTACCATCACGGATTTCACCCCACTACCGTTTGCAAGATCCCCAGTGGGTGTAGTTTGAAAATTTTTAACAACCAGGAGTTTGCCCAGTTACTGGCTCAGTCTGTGAACCATGGCTTCGAGACCGTCTATGAGCTCACAAAAATGTGTACCATACGCATGAGCTTTGTGAAGGTGAGTGAGTTCTTGTTCCTCTGGTTGGGGTTTGACACACCTGTGCTGTGTCTTGTCCCAGTGTAGAGATCTGTATCCTCTTGGTATGAGTCCACAGAAGTAAACTTGTACTTCTTATCTAGGCATTTATGAGGAGAATACAGCAGGTCCTTGAATCATGTCATTTCATTCAACGTCATTTTGTTATGACAGTGACGTAATACCACAGAAACTTAACTCTTGTTTATATCAGTTACCCTGTGATGAGATTGGTCTCGTTATGTGTCATTTCACTTAAAGTCACAGACCACTGAGTGAGGGCTTACTGGGTCACTGGCACGTATAAATGTGAGTGCAAGGTGTCAGTACTACCAGGCTTTCATAACACTTCTCGTTTGGATAGCACTCTCTCAGCTGTTCTGACATCATTACAGTGCATTACAGACTTAATATACGCAGTTCAGAGGCCCGGCTCTCTCATGAGATCAGTTCAACAGACACCTCTCCCTCTCTTTTCTTTCCATTCCGTGTTTTTAGCGCTTTCATGATGATAACAGCTCTTGCTTTAGTTTCAACAATAAGCAAGTAATCTTTTTGTAAAAATAAAAGTTTATCACACGGGTTCATTTTCAATTGGTCAGTTTTTTTAGTGATTCCAGTAAACCCTATGATTTCCTTATAATTCAAAAGCGAGTAAGGCCTCTACCCAAAGATAAATAGATGCCTTAGCTCTAAAACCGTCTTGCAGGGTTTAAGGAGGGGGGAAGTCAAAGGCATCACTCACAGTAATTGATCTCTTTGCTGCCTCCTCTTTTACGAGAAATAAAAATGTTTATGATGCCATTGAAATGTTTAAAAAGTTTAAAACATCCGATTGGATTTCATGGGCCAGTAGCTTGTTCTGGTGACTTGGCTGACTTGTCACTGTGTTCTCAAAGATACATTTTTACCCTCTGTTTCCTTGAGAAGCAGAATTAATTACATATTTGGGTGAGGCATGCAACCACCTTTCATGTGCTCTCCTCAGAAGCTCACCTAGCTTGTTGGGAAACCTGTTTTGTAACGTATTTATTACAGAGGGCGGTTCGGGAGCCCGACTTTGTGAGTCATCCTCCAGATCACAGATACCCTTCCCGGAACATCTTTTCCCCCCGCTTCTTCTTTGAATGTTACTAGCAGATTCTCAGCGCGTTCTCTTAGTGTCGTTTTTCCCGAAACGTAATTCTACAGCTCTTTATTGCTGAGTCTGGTGCTTTTTTTAGTATTAAAGGAAGTTTTTGCCTCTCGAAGAAGTTTACCTATATGTTTCGTACTGATACAACTACAAAGACCTTTCTGTCATCCATTATTAACACTTAGGTTTAATTTCTGATTTCGTGTTTTGGCTAAAATGAATTTTAAAATGAGGATAGCAACTAGCCAGCAGTGTTCTGTGTTTGCTGGTTTTATTGCCGTGGAGGAAAGAATCCCTCTGGAGAGGAGGAGACCCAGTCGGGTTCAGGCCGCTGTCTCAGCCGTGTGGTTACGGCCCAGGGATTGGTTTTTTTCCCCCTGATCCTCGTGTTCCTCATCTTGAGAGCAGACAGATGGAGTCGAGAGTCATGGCAGTCATTCCTAAGGTCCCTTGATGAGTCTGTCACTACTGAAGGACCATGCTAGAAGAATTGATGACTCTCTTGCTCGCTCAGCTTTCTCCTCAAACTTGTTTCCTGTCAATTACCCAATCAATTTTAATTATTTTACTTTTACACATTTAAAATTATTTACTCCTCTGCACATGAAAATAACCTTTACACTAAAAGTGTTTATGATGTGAGGCTATGCGTTAAGAATATATTAGATTTGATTCATTCAGCAAATATTTTGAGCACTATTCCAGAGAATCAGTGTGAAGAAGAAAAAGCACCTAAAGTTTCTAGCTTCAAGATGCTTCTGGCCTTGAATTACGCTGTGGCCGGTGCGGGAATGGAGAGTTGTGTACGATGTGATGGACATAGCCGAGAAGCTGGATTTGGAGAGTGAGGAGAAACAAATCTGGTATTAAAACTGCTGCTGACGTGATCAAGGGCGGCTGCTTGCTGTACATTAGCAACAAACACTTATGCAACTTTGTTCTTTGTTTCCGTAAGGACTGCAGACCTCGCCTCTCACACTTGGCATCTTGAGGAAATGCTAACAGAACATTTTACTCATATTAATAGCCAGTCTTGTACTATTTTTAAGATGATCACTTTTAGACTTCAACATAAAATATATCTTTTGTAAGTTATTTGCATGGTAAACTCCCCATATCTGAAAAATCCACGTCAGTTCAGGTGAACAGGTGTTCCTCCAGAGCTTCTGTTTTGTCCCAGTCACTGGGTTGGATGTTTGGGATTGAAGATCAGCAAGACCTGGCCCCACCTTCCAAGAAATGGAGCCCCGTCGGCTCTGCTGTGCCCCGTGAAGCAAGGTCTTCTCAGGACTTCACGTTCCTGTGCCCACCACGCCAGCGAGCCATTCGTCTTGGCAGCAGCAAAATTACCTCCTTGCATAGCGACTTTCTTCTCCGCAACCTTTGCGTCCTGATTCAGTAACCCTGAAGCCGTCTGGCAAGCTCTGTTCTTGTACGAAAGAAAAATGGGATCTGTTGATTCAAGGCAGCGATTAGGTGTCCATAGCGGCTTTTGGATGTGCACGTGCCCCTGCCAGTTTTGTTTAGAGATTGAAAGCTCAAGAGCTCTGTGTGGATAAGAGGACTCTCAGAGGCTGAGTAGGGGAGACACGGAATGTTCGTTTGTCTCACGTACCTTTTCCCTCATTTTCTTGATGATAAAATGAGAATTTAATAGTATCTATCACAGTACTATAAGTAACATAATGGGAATGAAAACGAAAGTTAAAAACTGCCTATTAAAACATCCTTATAGTGTATTTTCAACCTTTCATTCCCCAAGTCCAAGGTTTGCTAATCCAGCATCCATGGCTGGGCCCCAACCATGGACACACCCATTCCCTGAAAGCGCCCAGCAAACTGAGTGTGTGTTTGTGTGCCCTAGCATTTGTCTTGTGGAAAGCATCCACATCTTCGATTATGTGAACTGTTCTTACTTAATAAGTTTACCCACTGAGTTAAGCAAGTTCAATGACCTCCAACCTGTCGTTTCTAGGGTTGGGGAGCCGAGTACCACCGCCAAGATGTTACTAGCACCCCCTGCTGGATCGAGATCCATCTGCACGGCCCCCTCCAGTGGCTGGATAAAGTTCTCACTCAGATGGGTTCGCCTCATAATCCTATTTCATCTGTGTCTTAAGCGGCCTGAGGCTTCTGCCTCTTGAAAACTATTGAGCCTTGCATGTACTTGAAGGGTGGATGAGTCAGACACGATTGAGAACTGACAAAGGAGCCTTGATCATACTTGACTTCTGTGACCAACTGTTGGATTCAGAGATTTAAAAACAAAAAACAAAAAAAAAAACCTTGGTAACATACTGTTGATATCAAGAATCTGTTTAGTTTACATTGTAACATTCTGTTGTAAAAATCACCTAAAATGAATACTTTTAGCAGGACTTTGTGTATAGTTAAAGGAGAGATGGCCAAGCCAGGGACAAATTATCTGTTGGAAATCCGGTCCTAAGAGAGTCTTTTGTGTTTGGCACTTTAAGGTCATCGTTTGGCAGAAGTTTAGCATTAATAGTCTTTCTGAAGTGTGTTTTTATCAGGTTTAAAGTCTTCTTTAATGGGTTTTCATAATATTTTTAAACTATTTGTTTAGCAATGGTTTTTGTTTGTTTTTTTAAGTAAAGGTTAATCTTGATGATATACATAGTAATCTTTCTAAAATTATATGCTGACCATACTGCTGTCAGAATAATGTTAGGCATATGCTCTTTGCTGAATATATATGTACAGAATATTTGGAGGTTAAGAATGGATTAGACTAGCGGATTTAGGAGCATTGGAGAGGGTGGGGGCCAGGGAAATGACAGCTGCAGATGTAGAATATACTGTAAAAATTCAGTTTGTTGCTTCAGAGAAACAAACTGACGCCTGAATTTTGCTGTGTTTCAATTTTTTTTTAGAGATTTTTATCCTACTTTTTTTTTTTTTTTTTGCATCTTCTGTTTCATTCGCTCCCAAAAGCAGTTATGCAGCTGGTTAATTCATATAACTGTGAGAGCAAATGGATAATTCCTGCTTTTCTGAAATTGACTGCAGAAACGTTTCAATACCAATTGTATGGAGCGCTTGAATTTAATAAGCAGTTTTTATGGAGTTTACAGTACAGAAATAGGCTTTAATTTTTAAGTGAATTGTTTGCCAAACTTAGTAACTCTGTTAAATATTTGGAGGATTTAAAGAACAATCCCTGTTTAAGTCCATTTCAGACTTTTTAAATTTTTTGTACTATGTTTGGTTTTATTTTTCTTCTGCTAATCTTTTATATTCACTTACGCTCCCGTACATTGAGTACTTTTATTCCAAAACTAGTGGGTTTTCTCTACTGGAAATTTTAAATAAACCTCTCATTATTGCTTACTTTGATTAAAAATGTGTTCTTTCCTTTCTTTACACCCTAGACTTTATGACCTATAAGACTCACTCCTCTTTTGAAGGACTTTTGTTAAATATTTGCCAAATGTAAAAAACTAAGCTACCAACACAGACAGGGATACTGAATCACGAAGAAAGCAGCGTCCCTTTGAATCAGAAAAGAAAGGACACGTGGAACTTTAAAAATTAAAGATACGCAAACTAACATAACCCGGAATTCCTGGTCTAGATGTAGGAACCCTCTTCTGTGAGGAATTGCAGCAGCAGCGATTATTAGTGGGCGCCATTCAGTCAACCAAAAGCACCCCCGGTTCCCACACTTCACTGAGATGCAAAGGTGACGGTGAGGGGTCTGGAATTGGGGGGAGGGATGGGAACTACAGCTGCACTGAGACGAGATGATTGCCGCAGGTCCTCAAACATCGTTTTGTTCAACTTCACTTTGTTGTAGTATCGATGTGATGCTATGGGAACTTAACCCCTGTTTACATCAGTTAACTTGGTACAATGAATCAGGTAAAATTGGTTTTCGTACTGTTTTGCTTGAAGTCACAGGATTCACTGGCATTAAGTGAGGACTTACTATACTTTTGCGATCTACCAGCCTGGGACCTTCTCCCATCCCCTGTCCTGCTCCCCTAAACAAAGTTTGCTCACAAAGGATGAAGATTTGAGGAGACTTAAGATTTTTCTTTGGCCAACTAGATGCCACTCTTTCTCCTTTACCTTTTTGTGCCTCGTTCCCACAATTATTGCCAGCCCCTCTTATTCTCCAAACTGTGACTCAGCAGGAATGTTTGCTGCAGCTTGCTGTCTCCGGAAACACCTTGCTGCAAATGGAAAAAAGGTGCAGAAGAAGACCTCCGTCATAACACAGATTCGTGCGTGTCTTTGGTGGGTCACTCAGCTTCTGGGAACCTCTGGTTCTGCCTCTGTGAAACAGATGATGCTGTGTTCTCACCACAAGGTCGAGGTGAGGACATACTGGAAGAGAAGTATGTGTGACAGTACCGTGGAGACCTAACTGCCATGTAAGTATAGGGGCTCCTCTTACTGAACCCTTCCCCGTACTCCGTTTTCCCACTTACCTGCTAAGTCCTTTCTGGGACAGGCGATCTGGTTTGATGACCATCATTGGGGAGATACAGTAAAAGATCAGTAAATTAAAACAATTGGACTTCAGCAATGAGGCGTCACTGGAAATTGTCTACAAATAAAGAGCTCAGGGCAGGATTCCTCACCCTTTTCCTAGTGAACAGCTAGCTGCCTTTTGCCTGATGGAACAGTTATGCCAATTGTGTGTAGGAGTGAATGCTGGTAGCTTGGAGATGTACTGGATTCAACCCCAAGAGCATCCAGTAGATTGGAACCTACTGGATTGGGGCCCTAGGAGCAGGCAGCATGGTGCATAGATCAGCCCTCTATGCTCAGGGGCAGTTATCTGTATTCGGTAAAATCTCCCTGAAGACCACTGTCATCAGCCATAGGAGGCTGTATTAAGTCTCTTGGAAGTTTTCAACTAACAGAATGAAAAAGTCAAAGCAACTATGTGTTTGGATTACTAGCAACAACAAGCTAGTTCCAGTGAAACAAAGCAACGTGAGCTACTATTTATTTCACAGTAGATGTAGTATCAGCTCCTCAGATGACAGGATGATTGGAAATGGAAGGTTCCGAAGCTGCTGCAGACTCACCTCGTTGAGTTTGTAGTATCGAATCTACAGCACGTTTCTTAACTTTTCTGCACCTGTTTCTTCATCTGTAAAACCAGAGGCAATAAATTCTATCTCATGAGATTACCATGTATAGATCTTTTCTATAGATAACTTTCTTTTAATCAAAACAATACATGATTACTAAAGGTGTTTCAAGTCCAAGAAAAACAGAAAGAAGAAATTAAGGTCTCTCAGCATAGAGATCCCCATGCAGCATGCTGTAGGAAATTCAGGTCTAAAGGTTCCTTGTCTTAGCTCCGTTTGTTAGGCAGTTGTTGGCACCAATCCCGTACCAGCTGCTGCGAGATCCTCAGACCTGCCCTTAAGGAGCCAGCACCCCAAGGAGGAGAGTCGGTGGTGTGCCGCTGAGTCGGCAAGGGCGTGGCAGGGACCCAGAACTGGACCAGAAGGGTCAGAGGACTTTTCAGAGGAGATGGTGCCTGAGAACTAAGTGCTCTGTGCTGACTGGGAATTTTATAGGCAAGGATGGGAAGGGGGATGTGCTCCCAGCAGAACAGGGGCGAGCCTGGCACATTTGGGGGCAGTAACACCATGTACTGGAGTGTAGAGCAACCGGGATGGTATATGAAAGGGGACAGGTAGGAAGGGGCCAGGTCATTGAAGATCTTTTGTATATTAGGAATGGAATTCTCCCCGACCCCCCGAGGATTTGGGGTCCTAAATGTCTCAAGGAAATGGTTTCAATCACCCAGGGATTGAACACTCCAGGGTCCCGGAGAGAACTGACAGGGAAGCACACAGATAAGGGGCAAAGAGCTGACAAAGTAGGAGAGTCGTAGAACCAAGGGGAGAGTTTCGACAAGGAGGGCTTGATGCACCAGGTGACCAGCAGAGGATTGGGAAGGAGGAGAACTTAAAAAAAGTTTACACTTGGTCCTTAGCACGTCTTTGGTGGCCTCAGAAGATTGGGGGAGTGGTATATAGTGCCACATTGTGAGGGTTAGAGAGTCCAGACTGACAAAGTACAGGCAATGAGTGCTCGAATCTAGAAAAGTTTATTGGGAGGAGGAGAAGAGCAGGGCCATGGCCTCTGGTTGCTGGAGAGGAGTGAATGGAAGGGAGGCGCGGTCAGAACCAAGGGCTGCAGCACACCCGTAAGAGGATGCATGCCTGCGTGCTGACGTCATCCACTGATGGGGGCTGGGAACTGAGGCTGGGCTGACGGACAATGAAAAGGCCAAAGTCATTGCTGTGAAGACAGGAGTCACCTGGCAATGAGCTCTGGCTCTGGAGAGCATCAGTCACCTGACTACGGTTGGGTGATGTGGCCTCCAGCAGATCCAGTCTATGTGGCTTGATGAAGGCTCTGGAATTTCGGGATAGGATCAGAGAAAAGGGATATGAAATTCCTGGAGTTGGGGATTGACAACACAGTCCTGGGGGAATTATAGGGGCTAATGACTGTCACTGGAACGAAGGTCTGTGTGGTCCAGGCTAAGATGCAAACTAGGGACAAGAAGCCAAACGGGAGCTGCAGGGAAGCTGAGAGGAGAGTGAGGAGCACATTGGTGTGAATGGACCCAGCTTGCTCTTATTTCTTCGCTCACAGAAATTCTGGATTCTCAAAGAAAACAAGTCCTGAAGCAAGGCCCTCCACGAAGGGTGCTGATATGGTATAAAGGTGTGACGGGCATTCACTGGAGGAGAGAGTGTGAAGGAACCAAGGCATAGGTGGAGAGGAGTTGTGGTTTTGCTCGTCATTCCATCACCAGATAGAGCTTAACTCATAGCAGGCACTCCGTAAGGAATGAATGAATGAACGAATGATATGGTCTAGTGGCATGGGCACTGAAGTCACTTGGGGTGATGCAGAAGGCACTGACAGGTTGCAGTGGAATTAGGGCAAGGGCTGACCAGAGGCACAGTGGGGAAGAAACAGACCGTCAAGAACCATGAACTGAACATGCTCTGAAAAGGAAGACACATGGAAAAGGAAGCCAGAGAGGAGTGAGTCTCCACCCACCCTGCAAGCAGGAAAGGAGCCATTGGAAAGGGGAGGGACTTGTTCTCCCAGCACTTGGCAGAGGCTGGTGTCCTGCCAGAGCTCTGTGCTTTTCACAGGCGTTGATCGTCCACCATCTGTGTCTTTTCAAGGTTCTCCATGCCTGGGCCTGGGGAGGGGTTCTGAAGCCTTCTCTGGCTCAGTACTTAGCGTTTGTGATCTAGTTAAATAATGTAGGAACTCAGGAAAGAGAACCAGGTGCGGGCAAAGGGAATGAGGTTGGTGAACAACCTGGACCGAATGCCAAGGCTCCCGAGAGTTTTCTCTCTCACATTTCAGGTTATGGACTGGGAGCTTTCCCAGATCCCACTGTGTCTGTACTAATGTCCATGCTGACCGTTGTAAAACAGCCACGGGAATAAGTACAGCATAGGCAATACACTCAGAAACATCATAACTGTGTGTGGTGCCAGGTGGGTACCAGAGTTCCTGGTGGATCCATCTGTAAATGATATAAATGCCTAATTACTACACTGGACACCTGAACCTAGTAATGTTGAGTGTTAACTGTAATTGGAAAATTAAATTTGAAAAAAATAATGTCCATACTAGGTACACACCCAGCAGGGGGAATGGATGGCAGGCAGTGAGACGGTCCCAGAGAGGATAGCAGGACAAGAATGTGGCCATCCCAGCTGCTTTCAGATGTGAGGGCAGATGCCTCTCCCCAGACACGTGGGATTCTAGCAGCAGGTGAAGAAGAGCAAATTGCTGAGAGGCTGCTTGCCCACTGCCAGCTCTGGGGACATTTGGGTATTTTCTGGGTTGGTGCAATACCAGCTGAGTCATTGAGCGACAGTAGGCAGCTCTTAACAGAATGGTTTCATTTACTGCCTGCATTGGGTCTACAGCGTTTTCTTACTCTAGAGGGACCTACTAAAAAGAAATAATTTGCCAAGTGCTTTCCAGATTGTTGCACCACATTTACATTTTATTACTAGGATGCTTCCCCAACACAGGAGGTGGACTGTGGGCCACAATGTTAATTGGTTCCTTTGTTACAAATACATTTCTTGTTCGGGGAGAATCGGGGATTGCACAAATAATATGCAGATTACTGAGAAGTCCATTTTTAATTGAGTCTGCTGACTGTGTAACAGGTACAGTTTTATAATTTTCAGTGGGTTTTAAGGCAGTTGTCCCTGAAGAGGGTGCTGTAGGGAACCCTCAGGTTCGCAGTTTCCAAGCGCTGGGACTGCAAACCTGAACGGATCTGAGAGCTCGGTGGCAGCAGCTGCGAGGCCGGAGTCCGTTTCGTTTCGTTCTCACCGTAGCGTCACAGTTAAAAGCCAGGGGCCTGTTACAGTTAAAAGTTTGGCAGTGGCTTCTTTAAGGAGTACTTTGTAAAAAATCTAGCAATTTATAAATTCCCCCTCCTTGATCCAAAAAGAAATAAGAGTAACATGGCTCCCTTGGTCCCTAAACATAGAATAAGTTTTAAATGGGAAAGTTATAGAAAAGAAAAACTTGAAATTGAGTGGCTGTGACCCTTTGGGACTAGACTCACCTTGTGAGAACATGAGAGAGAAAATGTTCTTCTTTCTCTTGGTCTTAGGTCCATGGAGACCAGCGATGCGCGTCTTCGCCACCATATTTTCATGCCACGCAGCCGTGACAGTTCCAAGTCTGGGTACGTGTTATCCAGACTTGCTTTTTACGCTGGCTTCACCACTCACTAGCTGGGTCACTGACACACGTGAGTTTAGGTCTGAGCTTTAGTCTCATTCTCTAAAGTGGGGGAATATAATCACGCTCTCACGCTGTGTGACGGTGTGATGCTCACTAAACACTCGGCACAGAGCCAGGCACACGGTACGCATCAGTAGTGGGGGGGCTGCGATGGTGGTGACAGAGAGCATCACAAACACAGACCTGGTGAACTTCCACTAAACGGAGGTGGTAGAGAGATCTTTGGTGTGTGGGAGATGGTTGGAAACCCAGCAAGAATCCCACAACCGTGCTAGGCATTATGCAACAGTAAAGAAAAATGCAAGGAGTTCTGGCAAAACAAAACAAAATGAACAAACGGTGTCCAGTGTGCAGCATAGCAAATGGTTTTTTAAAATTTATTTATTTATCTTTAGAAGGGAAGGAAAGGAGAGAAGGAGAGAAATATCAATGTATGGTTGCTTCTCGTGCACCCCCTGCTGGGAACTGGCCCCTGCTGGGAACTGGCCTGCAACCCAGGCATGTGCCCTGACTGGGAATCAAACCTCGACCCTTTGATTCGCAGGCCCGCGCTCAATCCACTGAGCTACACTAGCCAGGGCTAGCAAATGTTAATAGAACATAAATCTTACCCATTTACCCTGATGCTTCCAACAAGAGTCCTATCTGTGGCTTCTGGACTGAAGAATCTTGACGTTAACTACATTGCAAGTTTCATCCTACTAACTGATTGTGCTTTTCAGGTGCTTATAAATGTTGATTTTTTAAAAATTTACATCCTTCCCCTAAGCCACCTCTAGTTTACAGGCCAGCTGCTCATCAGGACATCTCTTAGCCTTGTGATCTCCAGTATTACAATAATCTCTGCGTTCCTGGCTCTATCCTGGGTTACTCTACCTTGGATGTTTGCCATGCCTGACCCCAGACCCGGACGGACGCCTGGCAGTTGTCTTGGGGTGCTGCTGAACCCCCAGGACTCACACTCTTCTCCAGTTCTCACTTTTTCACACACACACTGGCCGTACTCCGTGGAAAGGACACCCACCAGAAAATCTCAGCCCCTGTGTGTCTTCGCCACAGTGTCTCAGCTGTTGTCTTTCTGTGTGATTCCACATTCTGAATTCTCACTCAGCCCTTTGCAGGCAAGGATTTCCTTCAGTCCTGTAATTATCTCCCCTCCTGTTGGAACAGGGAGAGCTCCTATCTGCTTCGGGAGGTGTCTGATATCTAACTGGGTGTCCTGGCAGCCGCTCTGCCCTGGGTGTCTGCCTAAATACACAGCAGCTTCTACCATCGCCAGTCACCATGTATTAATAACACAATCGTATCTAGTAAAAGCCATTAACTCACGTCCCTACCAATTTTCCTACACCACCCCTGCACTTGCCTAAATATATTTAGAAACTTCAATTAGTATAGGTCCTTTTGGGAGGAAGGAGACAAGAAAAGCCAATTTAACCTTTATAGGATATATAATTCTACTTCAGCATAAGTAAGGCATTAAATGTAACACCACTAAGAAATGTCTCTGAAGCTAATCCCCATATTACAGTAAAAGACTTTAAAATTTGAACCATATCCACTCAGCCATAAAAAAAGAAGGACCCAGAGGGTATTATTATACTAAGTGAAAAAAATCAGTCAGACAAGGACAAACACCATGTGATTTCACTTATATATGCAAGTTAAAGAACAATACAAATGAACAAACAAAATAGAAACAGACTCACAGACACGCAGCACAGGCTGATGTTTGCCAGAAGGGGGTGGGGTTGGGGGGTCCGGGTGCAAGAGGTGAAGGGATTAGGAAATGCAGATGGGCAGTTACAGAAGTCACGGGGGTGCCCAGGACAGCACGGAATACAGTCAGTAACACTGTGATGACTAGGTGAGGTGCCAGGTGGGTGCTGGGAACGTCAGGGGGACACTTTGTAAAGGGTAGGGCTGTCCAGCCAGTACGCTGCACGCCTGAAACTAGTACAAAATAATAGTGAATGCAAACTGCCCTTGAAAAATAAAGTAAAAAAATACCAATCTCAATGGGTGTGACCTATCTTTACAATGGGTGGCAGGCATCTATCTATCATCTATCTCTATCTATCTATCTATCTATCTATCTATCTATCTATCTATCTATCTATCTATCTATCTATCTATCTATCTATCTATCTATCATCTATCTTCCAGACTCCAGCTTCTGCCTCTCAGGAGCCTGGGAGCCAAGTGGCGTAGGGAGACTCGGAGTGAGAGACCCGTGTCCAAAGCCTGGCCCCCGCATTCCAGCCCCGATGATCTCGCGATGTTCTCCAGAGCCCCGGAGGCCAGATTCCCTCTCTGTGAAATGGGGAGCATTGTCTTCAGCTATGTTGTGAAGACTAGGAACCATTATGTAAAGTGCTACGTGTGGTTCCTGTCACCTGAGTCGGTGCCCAATGAACAGGAGTTGCAATTATTATGTTTGGTTAAGCCGGCAAGGTGATTTATATTTTAATGTTTATATGTCTACTGAAAATTCACCGTGACTGCCTTCAAATTCAGAAACATTAAAGCCCTATGGTATGAAAGTTATATCTCAATAAAGCTGTAAAAAAAGAAAGAGTTCTAAAATTCAGAAAATGGAATCTATCATATTGCCTTAGAAACTATGAAATTGATTTTTAAACTAAAAAGTCTCAGTGCTTATTCTGAAGGTGACCAGTAAATATTGATGAATGGACTTCACCTATAGTTTTTCTTGAGCACACACTGTGTGGCCTATCCTTAATCCAAACATTAATTACTACTTTTGGGTCACAGGATTCTTGTGATAATCATACTCTATGCCCTGGAAAGTAATTTTAAATTTATGAAAAAGTACATCTTTATGCTTTGACAAATGACTACAATTAGTTAGAAAATTTTGGTTCATAAGCCAAAACCAGCACTGTCAATCATTAAGTACAAAATGAATGTACACGCTTCGGTGTTTCTCTGAATGGAGCAATGACTCGGTGCCTTGCCCAGGGGTGAGGGAAGCCTGCACCTCCCTGGCTGCCCGCCTCTCTCCCACACCCCCACTCTCACAAGGTGACCTCC